TGTATGTATATATATATATTAGCTGTTAATTCAATTTTTTTTCACTTTCATTGTAAAATAATAGCTTTGTGTGCCCAGTGTGTCAACTCACGCGAATACTTGACCATACAACTGACGTGAATACTTAACCATACAACTCACGTTAAAACGTGACCATACAACTCACGTGAATACTTAACCCTACAACTCACGTGAATACTTGACAATACAACGCACGTGAAAACTTACCCATTCAATTCACGTGAATACGTAACCATATACTTGACTATACAACTCACAAAGCGCTGGACTGAGCAGTAGGCCCTTATCTCTGCCACCTCTCTCTCTCTCTCTCTCTATTATAATATATATATATACACCGGAGGTGGGGATGGGTATATGAGTGTTGGGTAGGGGTGGGGATGCACAAAAAACAAAGCCTATCTCACATCGCCAAACAAATCTCCAGAACGGAATAACAATTATAGAGTTTCAGTGCCCAATCAGTCCACTCCACTCGCTGTAGCTATAGCAGACATTTGCGAAAAGCCCACAAATTGTACCGCTGGCCGGCTTGGCTCCCGATTACTGAAAGCTAGGAATCGTAGGAATCGACTCCGTACCCAATAACTTACCTTTTAATGATGTGATTTTTTCCGGTGGTTACCTGCATGGTCGGCTCCGAACATCTTCAGGATTTAGCATAATCTTGATTTCGGAACACTACGAAAATTCAACTTTTATTTTTCAAAAACAAATTCTTTTTAAAAAATTGTTTAAATTAAAAAGAGGAAGATTTTTAAGATTAAGTTAACTGGTAATCCGTAGGTTCACGTAAAAAGGAGTCGGAACTTTTCTTCCGTAGCATTTATCGTGGGAATCGGTTCCGGAATCGATTCTTCGCCCAGCTCTACCAAATTGTCTGTCGCGGGACGTATAATGAGCGAAGTAACCTTTGTGTGGCGGCCACACCCCTGGCAATTTTATGCCAGCTGTGGTGTTCTTCCTCTCTTCCCCCCCTCTCTTCCCCCCCTCTCTTCCCCCCCT